AGATTGAATCTATGATTCGGTCATTTGATCAGAGATTTACGAGCCGTTTTTCAAAGGCACAATCTACTACGAGCAGCTATCACATCCACAATGAGTTCAGACGGGTGTTTTTATGGCATTATAATGGTGCAAATACCTGTAAACGGACTTTTTAAAATATATTTTGCTTTCATGTTAATTTTAGTTAAAGTTTTAGTTTTTTTGTGTTTTTTTAGTCATTTTAATTAGTTTATGTATATACAGTGGGTTATATATATATATAGTTAATTTTTTATTTAATTTGAGCTATTTTGGTTGCTTTAACATTTATGTCAAGCAACCAAATGCTTTTTATGATTTTAGTTTTAGTTAACTGTAATAACCCTGCCTGGCCCTAAGTATTTGTTTTCTGAAAAATTGATCAAAATGAAGCGAGTTTATGCTGAACAAGAACAGATATCTGACAAAGGGCTCGTTTCTCTTTGAGTTCAGTTGATTTTTAGGCAGATATTTATTGTTTTAATGAAAAACTCACTTCATTTTTTCAGAAAACAAGATATTTTGCGTCTCAAGTAAGTGTATCTTGATTTAAGATCGCTCGTAATTGTCATTTAGAAAGTATTTTCTGTAAAGCTGCTTTGAAAAGTGAGTTGAATTGAATGTTTATACACTTGTACGGGAAAACTAAATAACTTGATATAGTAATTCTTGTTTTCTGAAAAAAAAAAGTATTTATTTAGTTATTTTTGATGAGTTTATGCTTAAAACAAGAAAATAAATCTCAATGGGGTAAGAAAAATTAACTTAATTCAAAGGAAAATTGAGATTATTTCTCTGACCCCATTAACAGATATTTGTTCTTGTTTTTAAGCATAAATCACTTAATTTTGATACATTTTTCAGTAAACAAGACTTCAAATCTTTATGCATTTTGCTTCTCAAGTAAATAGGGTTCTTACACCTTTTTCAAATTCAAATCGAAGCACTTTCAAGGTGCATTTTCAAGCTTTTCCAGCACGTTATAAACGGTGGAAAATTACATTTACACACATTTCACTTTAAATCAGATGTTATTGTGCTATTAAAAACTATCGGTCTGGATTGCATATAACATTGCATAATATAAATAGCCAGCATACAGTATATAAATTATAAAGTTAACGTCCATTTTAATATATTGTAAACTGTAATTTATTTCTGTGATCAAAGCTGAATTTTCTGCATCATTACTGCAGTTTTCAGTGTCACATGATCCTCAGAAATCATTACAATTTGATGCTCAAGAAGCATTTCATACTCGGTTCATATTTTGTGTGGAAATGGTGATGCATTTTATTTTTCAATAATTCAAGCATTTTCAAGGATTTCTAGCAACCCTGATGTTTCTTGATGTAAGAATCTAGGACAGAGTCACTAGCTATGTTTCCATCCAAAGTTACGAATTAAACTTGTGCGCAAAATTGGAATATCGCATAAAACATTTGCGAATAAAGCACCGTTTACATCCAGTGAGGCATGCATCGTCACCTCCTGATTAACTTGCGCTAAACATCACAAAGAAAACGACATTTGCTGCAGCAGCAGAAGGCACTGTATAGGATAATTAGTGTATACAAATAATTACGAGCTTCAGAGCGCGCAGACGAAACGCAGTCGTGTTATCTTCTTTTCAGAGCCTGCTGTTTGGGAACGCAGTTCTGGGAGTTAATTATAACGAAGCACTTTGACGAGACTTTGATTCGTTTTATCCCGTCCCATTGCAAAGTCACACGTCTTTTTTGACGTGCATTAAGGAATTTAATCAGTAAAAGTGCTTCTATCGTAGCTTATGCGCATATTTTCTTACCGGATAAAAAATGTATCCTACTTTGTTTTTTATGTACATTTTTAGAATTTATGCACATCTTGGCGTTTCTTTTTTTTATGCGATATCCCAAAATGCAATTAAAAATAGGTGGATGGAAACATAGTATCACTGCAATAATGATTCTCTTGCTTAGTGTTTGTGTCTTGTGTTCTAGTATAAATATCTGAACATTCTTGAATCAAGATGCATTTACTGTACAAGTGAAATGACTTAAGATATTACGTCTTGTTTTCTAAAAAATAATATTAATTCAAAGGCTAAACGAGGTTATTTTTCTTGCCTCATTGGCAGATATATTTGCTCATTTTAAGGATTTTTTTTTTTACAGAAAACAAGACTTTATATCTTAAATCATTTGTCATCATTTTTTTTACTCGTACAGTAAATGCATCTTGATTCAAGAATGTTATTTATACTAGAAAACCAGACACAAACACTAAGCAAGAGAATGATTTTTTTGCAGGTATTTCTGTCTTGTTTTCTAGTATAAATATCTAAACATTCTTGAATCAAGATGCATTTACTGTACAAGTGAAATGACTTAAGATATTACGTCTTGTTTTCTAAAAAATAATATTAATTCAAAGGCTAAACGAGGTTATTTTTCTTGCCTCATTGGCAGATATATTTGCTCATTTTAAGGATTTTTTTTTTTACAGAAAACAAGACTTTATATCTTAAATCATTTGTCATCATTTTTTTTACTCGTACAGTAAATGCATCTTGATTCAAGAATGTTATTTATACTAGAAAACCAGACACAAACACTAAGCAAGAGAATGATTTTTTTGCAGTGTGCTGACTCTGACAGTATTTCTGACTTGCAGCCGTGGATCTGAAGACGGGCCGCGGATCTCTGCACACTGGAGCCTCTGAAGCAGACGTGATCTTCAGCGTCTCAGACGAGGACTTCATGGAGGTGGTGACGGGAAAACTGAACCCTCAGAAGGTGCTGCGTCTCTCACACTTCTGCTCATCCATAACAACTTTTTGTTGTGCGATATATTGCTCCAGAAATTGCGATTTTATTCTCATTTTAAAGCAAGGCGGCCTACACACTTCCAAATGACAACAAGCTTTTAATTTTTAAGAATATTTAGATCATGCAAATTAAGTATCAAAATATTAGATACCTTAAAAAACCTGAATAAATACTACATAAACATTTTATAACAAAAAGTGCAAAGATTTGTCCCTGCCCTTCTTTTCTCTGTAAGTGAAGGATGCACACTATTGCTGAGAAACACAAGCACTACTCAGCACTCAGATGTGCGTCAGATCTCTAAACAAGATCATATCTGCAGATGAAACTTTGCTCGTAGAAGCATTTTTTAAATGTGAACGAGCAGCTCATGATACACTGCGTTCTGTTCGAGAAGCTGCAGAAGACACAGGCGCAAGTGGAACGTACAAAACATGCCGACATTCATTTTCAAGTAAATATAATGTGCGATATACTGCGCCACCAAAAATGAGGTCCTGTGCATGTATTGCGTGATAAGTGTATATATTGATTATTGCGACGGGCCTCGTTCTGCTCTGTGTTTGTCCCGCAGGCGTTTTTCTCCGGCAAGCTGAAAGTCAAAGGGAACATCATGCTGAGCCAGAAGCTGGAGGCCGTGCTGAAGGACTACGCCAAGCTCTGAAGATCCACGCCGTCGCTCGAAGCTTCTGAAGGAGAATCATCTCCACTAATGAGAGCACTGCAAAAAAGCATTCTCTTGCTTAGTGTTTGTGTCTTGTGTTCTAGTATAAATATCAACATTCTTGAATCAAGATGTTTACTGTACAAGTGAAATGATTTACGATATTAAGTCTTCGTTTCTAAACAAATAATCAAAATTGTTAGTTTTTGCTCAAAACAAGCAGAAATATCTGCTAATGGGGTAAGAAAAATAATCTTGTTTAGCTTTGAATTAAGATTATTTTTCTTACCGCATTAGCAGATATTTCTGCTTGTTTTGAGCAAAAACGAAGTTTTTTTTTTTTTTTCAGAAAATAAGACATCTTAAATCATTTTACCCGTACAGTAAATGCATCCTGATTCAAGAATTCTTAGATATTTATACTAGTGCCGTCAAACGATTAATCACATTTTTTGTTTACATAATATATATATGTGTGTACTGTGTATATTTATTATGCATATATAAACACACACACATGCATGTATATATTTAAGAAAAATGTTATGTTAATATTAAATATATTTAAAAAATAATATCAATGATATGAATCTACATATATGCATGTAAATATATACACGCATGTGTGTATTTATATATGCATAATACATATACACAGTACGCACACACATATTATGTAAACAAAACTTTTATTTTGGATGCGATTAGCACTAATATATACTAGAAAACAAGACAAGACAGTTTTTTTGCAGTGTGTCTGCGTTAATCACCTCATCGCTTGATTCTGATTCATTCAGACATTTCTAATACTGTACTAATGTTTATAATAAAAGATGACAATCATTAATAAAAACTCAAAAACCCAGCAAAGAACGATGGATGTTACATTAAGTCATTTATTTTCTCATTACATACAGTCATGTATATTACAGATCTCTTCATACTCGTTATAAAATTAGATTAATTTGCGTTTCTTCACATTTGAGAGGTTAAACACTACAGCCGATTCCTTATGTCATTATATCAGCAATAATCTGGGGGAAGAAAAAATGATTTTGTTTTCCAGTGCAAATATATGAAGATTATGAAAACAAGACATTTACTGGAGATGCAAAATGACCTCGGATATTAATTCTTGTTTTGTGAGAAAAAAAAAGACTGCTCATTTTAATTAATTAATATATTTATTTTTAGATTTTTATTATACCTTTTTAATGGGTTTATGCTTAAAACGGGACAAAATCAACGTAATTCAAAAGGGAAAACAATTATTTTTCTGAGCCCGCTGACAGATATTTGTTCTTGTTTTAAACATTAACTCACTTCATTTTGATTAACATTTCAGACTTATCTAAAATTTTCATTCTCCAGAAAATGATTCTTGATTTAAGGATGTTCAGATATTTGTGCTGGAAAACAAAAGGAAGAGCATCATTCTCTGCAGTGACGGGTAAAAGAAAAGCGTAAAAAATAAACCCTGAACAACGTTCCTAAAAACAAACGTCTGCAGGAGCCTCAATGATTATAAATATGCTTTATCTTTAACACAGAATAATTTCATCAAGCCTCGTGTTCAACTCCATATTTACACTGAAAATAAAAGTAGCTGTGATCTTCATTCCAGTTAGCGGCTCTGAAATCAAGCGACAGCTGATTGGTTGAGTCACAAATGGAATGATGCTTTGGCTTCACACACAAAGTGCTTCGTATTCAAACACAGGTTCGACTAACACTCATCTAACTGCATCGTCTGTGTGAGAGGAATCGTTCAGCCAAAAATCAAACCTTGTGATCATTTACTCTTCCTCAGCCTGAACGAGTGTCTTTCTTCTGCTGAACACTGAAGATGATGTTTTGAAGAGCGAACAGTTCACGGCACCGATTGACTTCTATACTATAGGAAAAAATACGATGGAAGTGAATGGGTACCGTCAACTGTCTGGGCTCTAAAACATCATCTTCTTTAGTGTTCGGCTGAAGAAAGACACTCCTACAAGTTTGAGTGTGTGTGTGTGTGTGTGTGTGCGCACGCACGTGTGT